TTTACTTTTGATAGTTAAATTTTTCCTTTCTCGTTTCCACCTTTATTTCATTTACTGCATTTGCGATGCCGTTGTTGGACCTGAGTTCAGTCGCGGAGCAGTAATGCGAAGGGGTATCCGAACACTCGGGGAATGTCAATCAAGCACACATTAACTGATAAAATTTTACCATTTTAAATTAAATCGAGCATCCAATTTAATAAAACGAAGGTGTCCAGACCGCTTTTGTGTACACATTAGGCACCCAACTGGTAAAATGACAGATTCATCTCAAAGTTTACTGGTTCCACTACGATAGTTCAAGACTTCCTCGGTGTTTACGAATAGCACATCTACCGCTGAAGGAAGTTGGACGCTGGCAGGTGGAAACGACGGGGACGGAGCATGAAGTCTCCCATCACCAAAAGGAGGAGCTATGCAAGCGATCAAAGTGGGACACAGGGGCTTCGCCTTAAACGTGTCCGCCAGATCGTTGTCCTTGTTCAACCTCGGCAAAGTAGTTTGTGCCCTAATGAAAAATATTTATGGAGCTTTGACCTCAACTTTTATGCTACCTTAACCCTTTGTCAATTTTAATAGCTCTATCACTTCAAATGCTCCCACCAGATGCTCTGTGCCTTATTCAACGCAGATCAACCAATTATATTTTTTTATTCATCAAATTTGCTTCATTTGCATCTCCATAAATGGGGTGTTAGGCTGTAACGTAAAGGAAATTAATGAAGATAGACTGAATTTTAACTCCTTTTGTTGGGAGTTGCCATCAATTTGCTCATCAGCAGCGGATATCTTTTGCAGTCACGTTTATGCATTGAGGTGAGGGTAGGAGAATGAGTTGCTTTCCCCTTTCACTGCTTCTCTCATAGCCTCTATTCCATCCTCCAGTCTTAGGCTTTTGAGAAAGTGTAAACACGCGTAATCAAAGAAGCAATGCATTTTTTGTGATGTTGAGAGGGGTTTGTGTGTAATGGCATAGCTCAGAGGTGCCCATCAGTAGAGTCTAAAAGGTCTCCCAATCGAGACATTGAACTACCGATACCGTAAGAGAATTAATGTGTTTACTTGGGTAGAGTTCTGCTGCCTCTTAGACCATTTTGGTTAGGAATTGCACACTTTTCAAATTGCACACCGTCCCTCATTAATGGTGTATGAAGCATCCTTAAGTGGGGAGAGGAATGAAGGTCACAGCAGTACCAAGGAAGTTCAACCCTGAGGAAAGAATTAAAAACACTTGATGTGAACAAATTTGCTGACCTTTTGTTCTACTCCTGTGTCAAAAAGGTCTGAGGTGGAAGAATTTGCCTACAACTACATCCTGACTGGACAACGCCAGTCAAGTGCCTCGTGATTTTATCACCTCCAGGCATCAGCTGCAGCAATATTTGAGTGACATCACATCTGGCGTTAGCATTGACCGAAGTGTGTCCAGGAAACGACCAAAACATGTGTGTGTGTGTGTACGTGTGCTGAGGTTATTGCAAGTCTGAACTATTCATGCAAATATCCAAATGCCACGTTTAGAGGAAGCAGCGCAGTCATTTCTTTGGTTCTCTATCCATTTATTTGGAAATAGTATACAAAATGTGGTTTTGACCTATATTAACCGTCCCTCCAAATCCCACTTTGTTACTGTAAAAGCATTGAGCCATGGTTCGCATTAGAACATTCCAGACAAGAAAAGTCATCGACCAATACGCGTCTGACCGAAAGCCCAAGGGACGTGGCATGGGGGAGAGAGGATCTGGACTGGGCGCCGTTGTACTGAATTTTGGGATGCGTTCATAAAATTTCAACATTTCTTTCATTACAGTGAGTCCAAACTAGGCAATTTCATGGGGAAAAAAGCAACGCCCTAAGTAGAGCTGCAAAGCTCACATTTCCCCAGTCGTTTTGGTGGCTGACGTGCCTCACAATCCGCCCACTACTGCTCACACATCGACGTGAAGCAAAGTGTCGTTTAATTGTAAATTGCAAAGCAAAACAAAAACAAAGGAGGTGACACCTCTTCCTTTGCAAAAATTAAAAAAAAAACTTTAAAATAATGAGAATTTAAAATTTCGCAACACAGTGTGAAATGTTTAAGAAGATTAAAAGGTGAGATGAAGGTGACAACCTCGATAATAGCCAGTGGGTGCTACTTTATTCACCATTCCATATTCAACTGCATGTTGAAGCGTTACCAACATCAAAGCGCATTCTGGGGTCAGATGTCTGCGTGATAGTCGACGTCGTGCCCCAACTAATCGCTGTGGCTTTACTGACATTGACGGCAAGGCCACAGCAGATGGACGAGTGTTAGTTCACAGTCTTTGGTGAAACAGATGGACACACAACTGCATCCGTGCGACTCAAGCACGTCCAACGCCTTCCCACCCCCCTCCCGCGCTTGGCCGACGAGACAAATGAAGAAGGGGAATGCGGAGCGTGAGTGTAGGCATGAGCGCAGTTAGGAGGGAGCAACATGCAAAACGGCAAGGAAAGACATTTATCTTACGTCACAATTAAGTGGTTTCATTTCCTGCAACGAAAAAGTGAAGGCGTTGGGCAGAAGAAATTTTCATCTCCCTTCCTGTGGTAAGACTAATAACCATAGGACTGCATCCAGCCAGAAGTATTAAAGGAAGAAATGGAGAGGTGATCTGTCGATGCAGTAGAGAGCGATGCTATGCCACCTGAGGGAGGGGAGCGTCGGGATGGAAAATAGCCAATGTGGTAGCATCCAGGGCATTGACGATGGTGGGTGGTGGAGAGGGAGGGATAGACAGGAGGTGCTATTTAAACAATAGCATTCTATTCGAAGGAAAGCCATTGTTGAAGGGGTGATTGGAAGTGGTGTTATTGCCATGGGTAGCATTGATGGGAGACTCGCCTACTTACCAACCTGTGAAATCGCCAATTCGCACTTTAACACAGAACCAAATTCTTACCCAATGAAACACTCGTTTTTACTTTTAAATATGCTGGCGACCAGATTTTATCCCAGTCAACTTTTACCAGTCATTTTACTCTATTTTAACCTGCCTGTCTGTCTGTCTGTGCTACACCCTCATTCGTGAGTTTGCTGGCTGCCGAGCGTATGCTGATTCGAGGAGTCGACTGAGAGAATGCGGACAAGTAAAGAGTTGTGAAACGTTAACTTAGGAAGAGATGGAACGGTAGCTTCCCACCATTTTAGTGGGAATAAACTTGATGTTATTCCTAATGTTGTCGGGTGGGAGCCCTGGTTGCTGAGTCACGCCTAGGGGTCTGCCTCGAGCCAGTACCTGAGACGGTCCTCTCTCGGAAGTCAGTGAAGTGAGAGGCTAATCACCTCTTTGCAGTGTGTATTGACAAGGGAAGAGACATGTAATGGTAGCTATGCTAATGTGAGGAGGGGACATAAAATAACTAAAGAATCGCATTTAAGTAGTAAGAGATGAGATTGTGGCAGAATTGTGAGTATTTCCCACTCCATTCGCTTGGCAACAGGAGCCGTTGAATGCCGATTTTACTTCAGCACAACAATTACGTCCTTGAAAGGCATTTTTTAGTGCGTGACAAGACTGCAACAAACCATGCTACCTTGGGAATAAAAGACAAGGTTGTGTCCGATCTGAAATCACCAACACAGTCGTCATTGGTATTGTTCCAATAGCAACCAGAGGGTTGAACTACCTCAAATGTTCTATGCAAGATAAGGCTTGTCTCAACCCTTTCACGAGTTGAATCCACCTTGGTCAAATGATGCAAAGGATGACAGACACTCATGCACTGTTGAGTGGGCACTTCCATGCACATTGGCAAGGTAATAAATGCCTTCTCTGGGCATCACTACAAGCTTTAAAATGAGAAGAAAGTTTCTTGGCATTAATCATTACAAAGCCTACTTCTTGCACGTCACGAGTTGACCTCAACAAGCACCAACACTAACCACCACTCGAGGAGAAAGCACACCTCCACGGCACCGCTTCCTTCCGTCCACAACCAATACTCACCACTCCTTTTTCCTTTCCACCTTTGTGACAACAAAACTGCTCCCATTGTGGGCTGCGTGGTGTGACACCTCGTCTTTCACCAAGGCGAGAAGACTATGAATCGACTAGTGGGCATGATCACCAAATCCACTGGTCCATCTCACCACAATGCACAGCCAAGCACGATTCGCCTCAATTCATCACCATACTCGGATGAATCGCACAATAGTGCATGCAATCACACTAACACTACGTTGCCTAGATGGCCTTTGCCTTCAAATTAATTGCAAGTTTCTGACTCAAGGGAGAATGTGACAGAGCATTATTTTGATTGGTTTTCTCACTGGTAGTGTCATTGATCCACTGAGTCATCGCATCGATTAGTCCCCGTATGCAACACTCATACAACCTTGATGAGTTGCGTTGATGATTTCCGTCACCTATTCTCACTCGATAGGCTCTTGAATCAATAACATGTTCTCATGTCCGCAAAATCTGGAAACGGAACGACGTCACCGTTAGCCCGCCTATTAGACAGGCGAAGCAACAGCTCAACCTCCTCCCACTTCCTTCCCAGGAATAGAATCAGAACACAACTGATCCTCCCAATGTCACCCGCTTATGCGATCTGGGTCAATGCGTCAATCCATCGAAGTCTCTACGAATCCCTCAAGCCATCTGGACTGAAAACCTCATTCCACTCTATATCTTCGTGATACCAATACCTTCTAAAGCCCGTTTATTGACGTCAGCGCCACAACCGGATAACCTAGGTGGACACGGCAAACTATGAAGCAAACTATCGAAAACGCAGACCGACACTCCAGACTCAGCTCGTCTTAAGGTAGCTGTCCCAAGACCAAACCCTTCCCGAGGCGGGAGTCCAAACAAAAAAAACAGTAGAAAAACTCATCAACCTTTTCCGGTTTAAAATGCTTTATTTGTTTGCTCTTGCGGCGGTCAAAATCAGTCGGTAAAAAGTACACACATGTATGTACGTACACATACGTACATACATCTAGGATTTGCCAGTTAGCTGATTGTAAACTAACCAATGAAATTTCGACCAGAGTAGGGGCAAGTAAGGGGAGGGGAGTACAAAAAGGGATGAAGACAAGGAGGGGTGGAAAAAAAGCTATTTACACCACACATCGGGGTAAGAGCACGGCGAAATGACCGAGATGAGAGGCTTCGAATAGAGGTAGGGTCTACGCGTGGTGTTGGGATCTTCTATTTTTATCCATACACAGCAGGATACATTGAAATTCTGAAAGCCCAGAGGGAATGTTTTGTGAGTACACCTGGACCCGCATCGCCCTACCGCACTATTGAGGTCGGAAAGGATGTACTCCCGGTGGAATTACTTGGGGCGACTGCCTTCTTGGTGGTTGGGAGTTGCTAGCGTTGCTGCTGGGATTTCCTCCAGCAGCCATGAAGTTGGCTAAATGAGCCTGGAATAATTTATCAGAGGTATGAGCCGTCGGAGGAATATTCAGGGGTCTGTGACGATGATGCGATTGCTGTGACTGTTGATGAGCGTAGGGGCTACCCCCACCAGCACCACCTGCCACCGCTGCCGCCGCAAACGGAGACAATGAAATCCCAGTCGGTGGGGGCTGTGGCGCCGGTGCATACTCATAAGGCGACTTCCCCGAAGGGACAACACGTCTACCAGCAGCCGACCAATCCATGGGCTGGGTCTGAGGCTGATTCACAACTGACGGGGGTGGCCAAGGCCGATGTCCAACATCCACTGACGTCCTACTCTTCTGCGGTGCCGCAGGAGCATCGTCCGAAATATCCGAGTAGGCAGGACTAGCCGTTGGTGGTTCGCACAGAGCCAGACCAGAAGGTTCCACCACTTCATCCGCAGTCGGCCCGCGATCTAATTTTGGAGGCGGAGGGTCTTCATCCATTGGTTCCAAAGAACAACCCCCACTGTTAGAATTAGCCTTTGCAAGCTGAGGCGGAGCTTGTACTGTAGGTGATGGAATAAGACGACTTTCCATTGTTGTTATATTTGAGGCTTCTGTTAAGGGCGCCTCATGCTCCTGACGATGCGCATGGCATTGATCCAAGTGAAACCGGACTCCAATGATGTCAGCAAAGCGCTTTTTACAACCCAACTGCGGACAGGCAAAATCAGAGGTGGAGGGAGCATCAGAAAGCGTGTTGCCCGCGGTCGCCCCATCGTCCTGATCGCCGTGACTGGAATCGACACCGTCAGTGGGGATAGGTGTGGCGGAGGAAGCCATACCAACACCTCGGCGACGTCGCCGGCCACGTCCGGATGAAGCACAGGATGGCAGAGCTCGACGCCGCGACGCCATTGAAGGATCCTCAGCTGCTGCGATAGCGGAGCGAGTTCTGATGGGTCCTGAGGAGGTAGAGGCAGCATTTGCGCCTGAGGTAGATCGGTAGGTACTGGATGATGCGGAACTTGGCCCGCCCCAATTTGGCTTACATTTGACCATGCTGAGTGACGATATCATTTTGTCGGGACTAAGTGAGAGAGAATTAGCTTATTCAACACCATCAAAATACAAAGCTGCCTCGCAAGGCTTAAAGGTCATGGTCGGTCCGATCTATGCACATCACTCAACGGTACAATTTGTCAAACTCAGAATTCAATCACTAGGAATTAGATATCTTCATGTAGCCTTTGTGCTTAGCTTGGACTGGGCAGACGAACCAGCGATGCACAAACAGTAAAGGTAAGATCACCTACCAAGACGGACCAAGAGTGTTCTTAGAGGCATCCAAGAAAGTCCCGAGAAACGCTCTGCCTCGCCAATGTGCATTTACAACCATCATTCCTGAGAGCATTAGAAAACCGTCATTTAAAAACAAAGTGGTAGTTCACAGAGATAAATCGATATCATAACAAAGCTGAAAAGCGCAGTGATAGGACAAACACCTCTCCCACACTATGGCTGTTTGCCAACCCAGCTTGATACCGAAAGAGCAGCGTTCCTCAAACACCCACAAAAACTGTCCCGAGGAGAGTATAGTCAAAATGTGGGGCATCTGTCCTCATCGTAGACTGACAATCAGAATTGTGCTTACGAGAATTAGAAAATCATGCAAACTGCACGACAAGAAAAAACGGTTTTCGCAAATTTCTGCTCAGGTGGTTAGACTCCACATTAGCGCTTTAAATATTACATCAGACGTATTATCATTCACGCAATATCAGGACATAGATAAAAAATGCTTATTCCTGCAGGATAAACTTGGCACTGAATGAGTAGAAAAGTATCCCACGACCGATTTCCTTACGGTGGTTTACAATACAAAATTTGAACGAAGTCATATGAAAAGTGTAACACTAGGCAACACCGCTGCACTCAGAACCAGTGGACCTGTACAAATAACGGTACAATGTGTCATGTTCACTACAAGATCCTAGAAAACTGAATAAGCAAGTCTTGAGACAGAAATTGCCTATCGCTACGGAACTCCAAATGCACATAAGTCAGAAGGTAAGAGTGAACCATTCCTATACCTCAGCTCTCAAGCAGCAACACGAGGTCTTATGTAATACGGACTAATTGCGAAGGCATTGAGAAGGAATAGAAATCAATGCAAGCATTACGAACCCGGAGTTTCTAACCAAACGACCCCTTCAAGCACTATTTTTGATCCAGGTTCACAAGGTCCCAACAAATCCGGCTCAGTCATAGTGCTAGAGTCCACAGTCGAAGTGGCTACATCCCTTTTGCCGCCGAAAGAATCCACACCCTAGAATCGTGTGTAATGAATGAAATGCATGAGAGTACCTTGAGATTGGATACGCAATGCGGAGATGGCGATCGAAAACTCTCAGGTAGTCCAGAAGGAAGTATTGGACTTTTTTCATCGTCTCCTGGGACGGAAGAATAGACAGACGAAGGTGAAAGTCGTCCATCTTGCTGGCTCGAATCCAAGGTATGGGAATGCGCGTTAGTCCGCCGAATGGTCACCTTCAAGGGCTTATTTACAGAATACGTGCCTCCATTTTGACTAACACGCGACCGACTGGACTTAACTTTCTTCCGAAGTTTGCTGAAAGAACTGGCGGGAGATGTTGTCTTGTTTGAATCAATAACAAACTGAGGCGGCGTGGAGTAAGAAGAGGAGAGAGATTTTGCACCGGTAGTCCCTGCAACACCATTTCCAACACCCGCGGTACGCCTTCGGCGGCTTTCGTTAGAGGAGACAGATTCTCGATCTTCGGACGAGGGAACAGGGCTAGACGAAGTAGGTAACTCAGGTGGCATGGAGGTAGCAAACACACCGGGAGGAGCCGGTACTACAGTAGCTGCACTGGTCATGGTGGACATGGAGCCTGATGGCATATCGTGTTTGCATTTGGTCTTGCCCTTTCTATTCACTGAATCTCTAGACACCTTGATGTTTTTGTGTTTTATTTTACAACTTCTCGATTCTAGATAAGGGGGTTTGTGCAATTAGAACTAGATAAATCCACAGTGCGGAGGGCGAAGTTCGCAGAGCTATGGAAACCAAGACGAACAGAGAAGAGCCAAGCAGTTCAACAGAACGCCCTGTACGTGCGCTTGCGCTTACCACCACTTTGGTGTGTGTCTGTACACGCAACTTGCGCCTCAGCTATACGCATACGTGTACCTGTCTGTCTTCATTTAGTCAATCGATACGCGCTATCTACTGGCTCACACAAATTAGACGTTTTCTGATTGGTCAACCCGTACTCAGGCGAAATTTTTTCCCGATTTGGGCGGAATTCGATTAGGCTGTTGGACCTTCGTTTGTCCCCTCGCTTACCGTCTAACTCCGCTTGCCACTTTTTTGATGAGCAGAAAATTACGCCTGCAAAGCAGCCTTATGTGCGATTGCGATTTCAGAATTGCATCATACGCAAGAATGCTTTGTAGATGCTAGCAAGTTACGACTCGCTCCTTTTCTCAAACCTCGGCACATTTGCTGTAGCTTTATTTAGCATGATCTTGTTTCTTACTTTGCAAACATCTGGTTGTAATTGCATTACTAGCCAAAAAGGCATCTGCAGATTAAGTCTTAAAGGCTGTCCTGCCCGTATACTGTTACTGCCTTTGTTAAGGTCGTCAACTTAGTACTTTATTCTTAGGGCTTTAGCGCCAACGCTGACTGAGTTTCATCGTGCTTTTGGTCCCTGGGGCCTTATAAGTTTCAGTGTCTAGGCGTAATGTAGCCATAAGTTATGAAGAATCAGCAGAGCGTTCCAGCGCGACATAATGCACCAATTGGCCTTTCGGGACGCATACATGTCTCCAGGTATTCAAGCGGGGCCATCGTGTTCGGTCGTACTCCTCCAGTCGCGTTGGTGCAACTGTGAAATAAAACATGCCATGGCTTGACTCGACACTGAGTCAGTCACAGCAGTGACATGTGGAGATTTGGCTTGTCTTTTTAAGTGTCTTTGTCCCCTTTTTTGGTCGATGCCGTCCGCCCCAGTGCGATCCTATTATCGTGCAGCTGGGCGATTTGCGTCATGCCTGCGTGCCGTGCGAGGACGTGTGGGCCGTTTTTATGGACAAGTGCTCGCTGCTTTCAATCACCCTATTTTGATACGCCTTGTTTTTGCCGCCAACTTTGCTTGATCATATGTCTCCGCAAAGCCATGAAGGGCATTAAGCGAGCGATGTTTTCCAATTTGTTCGTTACTTTCCTACTGGAACCTCATTCAGCTGCCCAAAACGACACCGTGTCTGAAAATTGCGCATTCTAACTGCTGTCGGTTTAAAAAAGTTCAACTAGTAAATTCGAGCAAATGCTTAGTTCAGTGCTATCTCTCACCCAGTCATGTAAATGTGCGGTTACGACTTGGAGGCAGGAAGTCATCTGGTCGTAAACGCATTGAAATGACCTGTTTATTTTATTGGAGGTCGTGGAGATGGATAAACATGCGTCACATGAGGGTTAGTGAAACACGAATTAGCATAAAGGCCACAGTGGTGCACCAGGGTTGTTACCACGCTTTGATGCGAGGTAAAATGAGTGCAGAATTATGGGAAGGCAGAAAAAAGGTCTCCCAGTTGCATGGCTTTTGTAGGCTGCCGTACTTAGTCATCTCGTGTGGTTTGTTTAGGCCACTACATCTTGATGTTTAAATCTGTGCCTTCTTAAAGCTTGTAAGGCTCAGTCTGGAGCAGAACAGATGTTCTTAAGGGCGTCGAAAAGCTAGAGTTCGCGTTCACCGCCCGATGTTTTATCCAACCGTGTCAGTGTACCAGTGCAGGCGGGAGAGGAGTCTGATAGCAAAGAATGGCCAAACGGGGCCCACTCGTTTGTCTAAAGCACTTATGCATGCTGCTGGGTCGGATTTTGCTACCCTTGGGAGGGGACAACGTTGGTTTTAGTCGAGCTTTCAACATTGCAACTCGCATGACCCAGGTTTAATTAGAGGAGGGGCGGTGACTCATCATTTACCAGTCCACTCTCGCCCACTGATGAATGACCCGTCTAGAAGACAAGGCATAAAAACCTCGCGTATACCAAATCGTAGGCCTAACCCAAAGCTGACTTTATCATTTTGATGGATTTTTCTTCTAGTGGAATTGGCAAGATGATGGAAGACTAGCTTTTGTAACACCCACCCCGGCATTCCAACCAGTGCTAACAGCATATTTAGAGATGCATTCTCTTGTTAAGAGCAGGGTTTTGCGTGCACAAGCCACCATTTAGCTTCACCAACCAACAACAAGTTCAAGTACACCTTTTCTTGCGATAATGGTGAAGTAATACCTAGTCAACGCAAGCTATTATGGTTCCAAAAGAAACGCTTTACGTGCATAGAGGTTCAATGAAAATTTACATTAAAATATTCATCATGAAAAGTAATAAAATGTATATTGTGCCATTATTTTTCGGTTTTCTTGACAGCTGCATGTATGATTGACACTTCATTAGGTATGGAAAATCCGCGTCAATGTATTTTTCCACTGGGCTCCAATTTTACAATATGTTCTTAATTTATTGGATTAGCTTTTCTGTGCTGTTTAAGATTAGTATCGATTTATTGATTATTGCTGTTTCGAGACCATCTACAAATGCTGCGTGAATTCAAGCGATCGCTGATGTATAGTTGCTATTATTTAGAGCAGTGTTTTCATTTTGCGACTCTAGTGGATCTGTCCTACCCTCAACCGAAAATGCAGATCCATAAATGTCAAGTGCTGTTCCTTCACGTGAATTAGATTAATCTGTAAATTACCAATAATGGGTGCTCTGGTTACTGATTTACTTATTGCCTAGTAAACACGCCCAGGAATCTCTCGCATTACAGCCTCTGTTTTATCGTCATTTGCGAGTGAGAGATTGTACGATAAAATAACGTCACGTACACACACGCTCTCTTTCAGCTTAGTGACGGTGATGATCTAGGGGGCTTATATGAACGCAGCCATTTCACGGAATATTATGAGTCTACTTTTCATGGTTGTGGGAAAGCTAATTTGATTTAAGCTATCATTATGAAAACACTTGTGCAAAGCAACTAGTATTTGCTTTCTGATAAGTATATAAAATTTTTCGGCATCTACGATGAATAAAATAATTCCTCACTACATAATGAAGGAATATAATATTCCGTAATATTTCATGCCCACTTTGTGGGCATTTGGCAGTATGACGCCCGAGAAACGGCGTAAGACTACGAATAAACCGATTGTAAGGGGGTAGGAAACGCCCTCCTCGACGAAGCTGACTAGACCCACACGTCACCACCACTTTTGTATGCATAGTGCGCACCAGTGCGAATTATCGATCGGCATCAGCTGTTACCAATGTTCATGCGAAGAAACGTGCGTGCGCAGCGAGTGGGTACGTGCGTACGTGTGTGCGCACACAACCCGCATACAGTGTGATTCAACGCCATGTTCGCGTATGAACTTGCAACGATAACGCGAGAGTAGGGGGTAGGGGAGAGGCATGACTAACATGGCCAGTGAAAAATGTCCTGTCCAAACGGGCGTTTTCCTCGGCCATTGTCAAGGCAATTAATTTTAGCCTTTATAATACAATGTTCAAGGCTAGGTGTGCCTTAGATATTCCCAATTCGGCGTTACCATGACACTGTCAAATCCCATGACTGTCTGCAATCATTGCCTCTCAGCATTCTGCTTTCCATTACATGAGGTATAAGCTAGTACTCCTCGAATTATACTTTTCGGGGCATTTACATGCCTCTTTAAATGTTTTAAATGGATCATTTTGGGCTCACATTGCCCTAATTCAACAGTCATAGTAGAGTGAGAGAATATAGGGTTGAAATGACAAACTATCGGTTTATAATGACCCTAAATTAGCAATTAACATTAACAATCAATTTGTCCCAGGCTATTCTTCACATTCTCCAAGAGATGTGATCAATGATAATTGAAGAAGACCTTGGCAAATTACGTATGGCGGCGTTGCTACTGCTACTTCCTAAATGGACGAAGGCCGTTTCTGAATGGACAGGTAGGATATTATCGGTTCTGCAACACCTAAAACCGGCGGACAAGGTGCAATGATGGTAACCACAAGCCAACCCGTCAAAGCAAGGCAGCAACAGAATTAGTTAGTAAACGTTGTCAATTCTAGGTGTCAGAATAGAAATGTGTTTGCACCAGTGTCGTCACCCCAGTGATTCAATTTTAGGCGTCTCCTAGTACGGAATCTATATTTAACATTTAAGCTCCTACAAATACAGGGGCTTACAGTCTAAACAAGTAACACCTCATTGTCGCTTGTCTGTGTGCCATCTGCGACTCGGTGCGCTTAGTCACACCGAAACTGATACGACATATTTACGATTAGGGTTTAAAGCTGCCCCCTTTAGCGGAAGAAAGACTACACACTTGCCCTCGAGCCGAGCATAGACAAGTGTGGAACTCTCTACAACAACACTACCATCATTCCTGAAACTTTGAGAACGAATTGTTGCAAACTTGTTAATTTTGCTGAACACTAAAGGAGCATTGACAGAGAAAAGGGCACCGTGACCTTAAGGTTATGGCTTGCGCATCTTGTGAAATGCATCCCATTTATAAGTAAAACCGGGTCATCTTTCTACTATTAGCTAATATGGCACAATGCTGCAATAAAATTTCCAAAGAATGCGCTCTACGTAACCTGAAATGGCAAAGATTAAGTTGAATCGACTTCTAGCAATGCTTAACCTATCTGTGGAATGCATGTGAATGCTAATTGGTTAATTGGAAGTTTCGATCAACTGAAATTAACACTCGTTTTTGATTGGCTGCATAGTTCGCAAACAGTATTATCGCCCTTCCGCCTTAACGATACGGGCTTTCTCATCTCTGTTGATAAGACTAACACAATCTCCAGTGGACACTTT